CAGGAAAATTCCAGAATTCATTACCAAGGTGTTATATCAAAACCCGTAAAATTCTGTCGTTAAATCATTTGACTACCGCAGGGATTCTGCCGGGGGCGCGGAGAGAGGGATGAGGCGGGAGAGGGGAGGAGGGAAATAAGTAAAATGAAAAAAAAAAAAAAATTTTTTTTTTTCTTTTTTTTCTTTTTATCGTTTTAAACCGAAATAATTAAATTTTATTATTATTATTATTTTCCTGTTCCGTTAACTCTCTCTTATTTTTTTATAATAATAATAATAATAAAAAGAAATTATCTTATTTGCTGTCTGGCAAAGAAGAAAAAAAATAAAATATTTAAAAAAAAATTTTTTTTTTTTGCTGTCGTTTGAAAACGAAAGGGAAAATTTTCTTTTGATTTTTTTTCAAACAACGTGACATAAAAATTTTCCATTTTACTTATTTTTTCCAAAATGTTAATAATAATAACAATAATAATAATGATAATGATAATAATGATTATGATGATTTCAAATAATAACAAATAATTTTTTTTTATTAGAAAAAAAAAAAGAAAATTTAAAAAAAATATCGTCTGCTTCAAATAATAATAATAATAATAATAAACACTTAAATCAAAAAGATGATTATTGGTATATAACGGGAAAAGTTTTTTTTTTTTTTTTTTTTTTTTGGGTTAAAAAAAAAAAAATTTTTTTAAGTTTATTTTTTTTCCATTTTTCATTTGTTCTTTACTTTCTCTTCCCTTTCCTCCCCCTCCATTCCCCTCTCTCTTCCTCTTTCCCCCGCACACAATCATTCTCTCATATTTTTTTTTTCCACGACAATCCAAAAACTCTCTTAATAAAAACTTTTTTTTTTCTTCACATCCACTACACCTACACACAAAAAAGGCAACAAGTGGTAATCTTTAACGACATATATATATATATATATATATATATATATATATATATATATATATATATATATATATATATATATATATATATATATATATATTTATATATATATATATATTTTTTTTTTTTTCTTTTCGAAATAAAAATTCCAGTTTTATTATTATTATTATTATTATTATTTCTTCTGCTTCTGTATTCCCGTTAAACCTTCCCCACAAAAAAAATTTACACGGAAAAAAACTCGGGAAAAGTTAAAAGTTATCTGCAGCAGGATTAGATAAAAAAATCGTTTTGAATTTAAAAAAAAAAAAAAATAAATTTCCGTTTTTTTTTTTACAAAAGTAATTTTTTTCGAGGTTAAAGGTCAAGTAATAATTAAAACGAAACAACAACAACCACAAGAACAACAGGAAAAAAAAAAAAATTTTTTTTTTTTTTTTAACCTTTTTAAACAATTTAAAAACATTTTATTAAAAAAAAAAAAAAAAGGTTAACTACAACTACAACTTTTTTTATTTTTTTTTTTTGTACGTTTGTTAAACATTTTAATTTAACCGAAATTTAATATTTTTAAAGTTTCCCCTCTCCCCATTTCCCTCTTCTCCTACTACCTTTTTTGTTTTGTCGGGTCTTGTTTTTCAATTCGTTCGCTTTTGTTTTCTCTTATTATTTGCGTATTACAAACCGGAAATTCAAACCCACGTTCTGAAAACTATTTGTTGCGTGGGAAGAAAGAGAAAAAAGAAATTTAAAAAAATTGTTTTCCTTTGTCACGTTCGTACGAAAAAGGGGAAAAAAATGCCGAAAACATAATAAAAACATTACCGTAATTATTATTATTAAAATGGCGGATTTAAAATTTATTACCCGCCAAAAAATAAAAAAGAAAAACAAAATGGCAACCGGAAATTTAAAAAAAAAAAAAAACAAATTCTTGCAATTTTTCTGACGTAACATTGACCCAATGAAAATATTTTTCGTTATGATCTAACAATTGTTTCTCTTCTACCTCTACCTCCCCTCCCCTCTCCCCCTAATTTTTTTCTGGGGGGGGGCTTTAATATAAATAAAAAACAATAATAATAATAATAATAATAGCGATAATAATGTCAAAGGCTTCAAAATTCTCAACTCGCAATTACCAGGTAAATAATTAATACCGATAAAAATTTATCGAAACCGGAAGTGATAAATCATTTAATTTCCGGTTTGTGTGACGTATGATTACGATCGTGAATGTGAAAAAAATTTGAAAAGTCACCATTATAAGAAACAGATGAGTCATACGAAAGGCAATATCAAATATTTTTGCACAAAACCGGAAACAATTCGGATCGACAGAAACGGAAGAACATAAAAAAAAAAAAAAACGGAAAAACAACGGGAAAAACAGGAAATTGTAAATCAAATTTGACCCAAACGAACTGGAGAATTCGGTGTTCTCCGGAGGCCTAGAATCAGTCCTTACCATCATGGAGATAATTTAATAAGGATTTGTGGAAATTCGTTGGAAAAATTTTTTTGGTAATTTGAACCTACTCGTCGTCCCACGGTTTTCCGGTTAAAATTTCATGAATGGTACCTTCGAGAGATTGTAAAATTCATTTCCCGAGGAGTTTAAATAATAATAAAGTCCTCTTTTTCCCCCACCTCCCCCCTTCAAATTGATAATAATTGAAAAAAAAAAACAATTTCTCGTTATAATTAAAATTTTCCAGTTAGTGAATTTTGCATTTGTAAAATTAATATAATAAACAAATAATATGTTCAACGAAAATAAATTTTTTTTTTTAGTTAATAACACTGCTTTTTTTTATTTTTCGATAAATTTAACGAGTCCTTCCAATCGTACCTTTTCGTAATTAATTTTTTTCGAAAAAAAAAAAAAACAAAAACAAAAAAACAAAATGAAAAAAAAAAAATTTTCGACGTATTTTTTTTTATAAGTTGGCAAAACTGTGATATATTAAGTCACGATTTTAAAATATATTAAAAAAATCAATAATAATAATAATAATAATAATAATAATAATAATTCGAACACTGATCGTCGACGTTCGAACGTTTATTCTTAAGAAATCAAATGGAAAACTGGAACGAGTGGTGGTTTGGAAAAATCTTTGACAAGTGTCATGAATTTTTTTTTGAAATGAAAATAATAATAATAATAATAATAATAATAGCTGGGAAAAAATTCCAGTGATTTCGTTTTGTTTTACTGTCGTTGTTTTTTTCAAAAAAAATCGACGACGACGATGATGATGATAAAATTTTTAAAATTAAAAACGCGTCGCTTTTGTAATTTTTTTTTTTTTTTTTTGGAATTCATCCGGATTACGTCAAAATCAGAAAATTTCCAGAAATGGAAAAAAAATTTTCCAGAGAGAGAAAAAAATAATGTATACAATTTAAATTTATCATTTATCTAAGCGTCGTTTAAAAATGGAAATAAAAAAACAAACAAAACAAAACAAAAAAATAAAAATTAAATAAAGTAAAATAAAATGAAAAAAAAGTGAACAATTTTCAAAGGAATAAATCAAATAGCCAAAGGAAATGAAAAGGAAAGTTTATCAAATTATTTTTTATGTTCCTCCCCCCCCCCCCCGTCGGCATCTTCCATTTTCAATTTTATTTTATTTAAAAATCATTTTATATTTTTTTTTATTTTTATTTTTTATTTTTTACTTTTTATTTTTCCCTTTTTTTTATCGTTATCAAATGATAAAATGAATAAAAAGGGAGAGAGAGAGAGAGAGAGTGATGAAGGCGAGAGTGAAATGGGACGTGGGAGGAAGGGAAGAAAAAAAAATTTAAGAAAGTTTTATAAGAATTGAAAAGACGCGAGAGAAAGAGAGAAAAAATATATTTAAAACGAGAAAGAGAGAGACAAAGACTGAGAGAGACTTATTGTGAAGAGAGACAGTAAAAAAAAAAAAAAAAAGTTGGTTAAATGGGGGCTAAACGAAAGGAAGGGAAATTATTCGAAAAGTAGCAAAAAAAAGAGAGAGTGCGAAAGTTACGGAAAAAGTGGAGAATAAAAAAAAAAGAGTGCAATAAACAAGAGAAAGATAGAAACAAAGAATAACAAAAAAAAAAGAAAGAAGGAGGGAGGGAGTGAAAAAAGAAACAAAACAAAAAGAGAGAAAGAGAGAGAGAGAAAAAAAAAACTGAAAAATAATAAAAGGGTTAAGAGGAGGCGTTAAAAAATAAAAACAATAGAATGAGATCTTTATCGAAAAGAATAAAAGGAGAGAGAGAGAGAAAAAAAGAATGAGGGAAAGTGAGAGTTTAAACAGAAAGTGAAAAAAAGAATGATAAAAAACAAAAAAAAACAAAATTTAAGAGAAATTTAGGAAAGAGAGATGAAAAGAACTAAGAGAGAGAAAGTGAGGGAGGGAGGGAGGGAGAGAGAGAGAGAGAGAGAGAGAGAGACAGAGAGACTCCTTTAGAAAAAAATTAATTGTCATAAATTTTTTTTTTGTCATCATTTTCACCTTAAAACCTTTTTAACAAGGTACAAATGATAAACATTACGACATGACAAGACCAAATTTCTACCCCACCCGCCTTCCCTTCACTCAACTCCCCCCTCCCTCCCCCCAATTTAATTCCATTATCAAATCAAATCAAAAAAAAAAATCAAAATTGATTTTTATTCTGTTGCGGTTGCTTTTATTAATACCCTCCCCCCATTTTTTCCAAATACTCCCTCCTTTTCTCTTTCTATAATTTTTCATAACGTTTTAGCTAATTTAATAACATTAACTCAACTTTTAACTTTGTTTTTTTTTGTACCGGAAACGGAAAAGAGAATCGGAGAGAAAAACGGAAACGGCTTTTTTTTATATTTTACTTTTGCGGTTTTTGTTTTTCCTTTTTTTTCCGTTTTTTTTTTTGTTATATTTACATTTATAATTTTTTCCGTTTGACTGGAACGAATCGTTTTCCTTTTTTAAATTGGTCCTTTTCAATTTTGACGTCATCATCAACAACCGAAAATTTCGTCATTATCATCATTATCATAATTATCATTTTGTTTTTTTGTTTTGTTTTTTTCAGGTTTCTTTCCGTTCGATCCGGTTTATTGTCTCATCTGGATGTGTTTGGACGTTTTATTTTGCACAGCTTCCATAATGCATTTGTGCACCATCAGCGTCGACAGATACCTGAGCCTTCGTTACCCGATGAAATTCGGTAGAAACAAAACGAGAAAAAGAGTCGTACTTAAAATTATGTTTGTTTGGTTTCTTTCCGTTGCTATGAGTCTTCCATTAAGCCTCATGTATTTTCAGGTACGAGTTTAAATTTTCTTTTTTTTTTTGTAAAAAAGTTTTTATTGTAAACAAAAGAACGACGCCATATTTTTCTATTTTTCATAATGTTTTCAAAGACAAAACATGATGACGTAAAATATGACAAAATCACGAACGTTACATAAAAAAAAAAAAAAACTTTCTACCCTCTCCCCCCTACCTCCCTTTGAAAAATTTTCAAATTGAAAATAAATTATTAAATTTAACCATATTTTTCTCTCTCTCTTCATATCCCTACCGTTCTTTGTTTCTTTTTATCCTTTTCTCTCTTTCTCTCTATTTCTGTCTCGACTCCACCACTTTATATCCTTTCCTCTCTCTCTCTCTCTCTCTCTTTCCATCTTTCTAATAATTTTAATAATTACCAAAAACATTTTATCCATTGTTACATCGAAACATAGAGAGAGAGAGGAAGAGAGAGAGAGGGGGGGAGAAACCTTTTCAAAACCGTTTTCCGAAATATTGGAAACTCGACAAATTTCTTCATCTTCGTTAAAGTTTTCTTCTTTCCCATCGTAACCTTCTTCTTCCCTCTTCCCTTACCCCCCACCCTCCCTCTTCCTTTCCCTCTCTCTCTCTCACTCTCTTTCCTTTCCATTCTTCTACTTACTTATTTAACGACTACAAAATTCCATTTAAATATAAATTTTGTCCAAACTACAATACAATCAACTACGCTAAATTAAATTATTATTATTATTATTATTATTAAATTGAATTTAATAATAATAATAAAAATAATAATAATCAATTTTCAAAAACAACTTTTTAACAATTTTTTCGTTTTTCTTTTTTTTTTTTTTTGTTGTTTTTCGCGGTCCTTCATCACCATCATCATCATCTCATCCGCCATTTTTTCTCATTATTATTATTATTATTATTTTACAGGATTACGATTCGGTATTGGTTCGTGGAACTTGTCAAATTCCAGATCCACTATTTAAACTGATCGGATCAATCGTTTGTTTTTACGTACCTTTGGTTGTCATGATGATAACGTATGCGCTCACCGTGAGACTTTTAGAAGCGCAACAGCAAAGTTTAGGACCGGGACCAGGTTGGACTGGTATGTGGTTGAGCAGTGCTGCCGGACAAGCAATGGGTAAGGATAGTTCCCTTCCCTTCCCCTTTCTTTCTCCTCCAGACACTTTTAAATTAAAAGAAAAAAAAATAATTAAATTTTCATAAAATTTTTTCCCATTGCGGAAGAATGATGATGACGTAAATTTTTTTTTTTTTTTAAATCAATTACCGGAAACGTGGAAAACGAAAACGTTTTCCAGACAACAACAAACAAACAAACGGTTATCATTTAAAACAACCGATAAAACATAAACAATTTTTTTTTTTTCGTTTACTTTCTTACGACTAATAAGGTTCGTAAAAATTTTATTTACGTGACGAAAAAAATCGTTTTGAGATTGTTACTTTATTATTTAAAAAAAAAAAAAAACAGACAACAAACAAACAAACAAACAAACAAACAATTTAAAGAAAAGTAGTGGAGAAAAAAAAATAAAAAATTTTTTTTTGATAAATGTATAAAATGAAAGAGAAGTAAATATTTTATAAAAGTAATTTTTATGTAAATAAATTTTTAAATTACGAGAAAATTTAAACAAATAAATAAATAAATTTCTGAGTTTGTTTAAACTATTTTCTGAAAAAAAAAAGAAACAAATTTTGTTTGTTAAAAGAGAAACAAACAAACAAATAAAAAAAAAATTTTCACCAATTACGTCTTTTTACATTTCAAAGTATTTATCGGGTCGTTGGAACGAATTCGAAAAGTTTTCTTTTTTTTTTTTTTAAACAAATTTCAAATTATTATAAACAATTAATAAACTTTAAAAAGAATAATTTTTAATTATTATTATTTAATAATAAAATTTAAAAATTTTTTGTTTGTTTGTTCTTGTTGTTGTTTTTCTAAAAAAAAAAAAGTTTTCGTGTCTGGATCAAGAGCAGAAGAAACGAAATAAATAACCGTTAAAAAATAATAAAAATTTTGTTAAGTGTAAAAATAATAATTGAGGAAGAGATTAGGGGGGGAAGGGTGAATGGGGGCAAACAAATTATTCAAAGCGGAAGCGAGGGGGGACATGGTCACGTGTTCTCAATCGCTATGAGTTATAACTGAAAGTCGATCACTTCGTTCGTAAACAATGCCGAGTAACTTCACGATCACTGCACTAAATTTATGATGAATGAATGGTACCAAAGTTGACGGATGGAAGAACGTCACCGAAACACGACAAAATCAGAAAAACCGTTTCTTCAGGGATTTCATCTCCTTTTATATGTCTCCTCATTGTCACTTTCACTGCAATAAAAGCTCTAACAATGTGCGTAATAAAAAGACAAAGGAAAGAAGTTTTTGGAAGATTCGCTTCCATTTTCTATTTTGGTACCCATTGTTACTATTTCGATACCTATTGTTACTGTTTATTTGGGTGTTTATAACGTCTATAAACGTTTTCATGAATAAATTACGGACGGGAACATAACAAATTATTCCCGCGTTCTTTTTCTTTCGTCCATCATCTGCTTCTTTTGCGGAATTTGCAAATTTTCCCAGAAAGAGAGAGAGAGATAGATACGTAATCTCCGTTTCGTCATCCTGATAGGTATAAATAAAGTACCTAATTTTAAAAAACTACTCACAGAAGTTACGAAAGAATTCTAAATTCATTAAATTAATTTTTATCATCGAAAGCGACGGATTCCCACTCCCGAAATTTATCCCGTTACCGTCCGATTCGATTCATCATTATTATCATTATTGTTTGTTTTGTTTTTTTTTTTTTTCGAAGAATATATTTTATTATTATTATTATTTTTCAATGGTTCCTCGTTAAATTTGTTATTTATTTATTTATTTTTTTTTGTTTTCCTCGTTCGTCGAAATCAATAAATTTATTTTTTATTTCCATCACGCGCCTCCCCTCCTCTTTCTCTCCCCTCCCTTACAAAAAAAAAATAATAATAATTTATTTTACTTTATTAATGTGACCGCAAAAAAAAAGTAAAAAGAAAAAATTCTCATTATTATCATTATTATTCTTTATTAATTTTCGAAAATTTCTTTTTTTTTTTATTGTGAGGGGGGAAAGGGGAAGGGATACCAACGTAAAATAAGAAAAAAAAATTTATTTTCCATTGTTACAAAAAAAAAAAAAAAAAAATATTTTTTTTTCCATTTTCTCTATCCCATTATTCTTTTATTATTATTAATATTAATATTATTATTATTATTATTATTATTATTATTATTATTATTATTATTATTATTATTTGAGGTATATATGTATATGTATATATATATATATATATATATATATATATATATATATATATATATATATATATATTTTTTTTTTTTCCTTTTGAAAAATCTTTTCAAATTTTTTTTTTCTTTTTTTTGGTTTTGTTTTAAATCTAAAAATTGAAAGAAAGAAAAAAAAAAGAAAAAGAAAAGCCTCAAAAAAAAAAAAAAAAAAAAAATGAAAAGCAGACGACGACGACGACGACGACGACGACGACGACAACAACGACAAGAAAAGGATTCTTCTTTGTTTATTAATTTCAAAAGGTTTTTTTGCCCTCCCCCTTCCTCCCTCCTTCATTTTTTTGCCGTTGTTGTTGTTGTTGTAATTATATAACACACTCCGGTAACAATAATTATTGTTCCGTATAATTTTTAGTGTGAAACGCCGCGAATTAAAAGAAAAACAACAACAACAACAACGACAAACAACGACGACAACAAAAAAAAAAAGAAAAAAAAAAATTTTTTTTTTTCAAGTCCCACGTTTTAAATTAATTTTATTTATATTAATTCTTTTGTTTTTTAATTTTTTTAAATAAAAAAATTAGTGTCGTTTGTCGTCACTTTATACCAAGCGGGGGTAAACAAACAAACAAACAAACAAACGAAACAAACGAAAAAAAAAATTTTTTTTTTTTCCGGATCGTTTTTCTTAATTTAAACTCATTCGACATTTTGTTTTTTTAAAAAGGAATCGACAGAAGGTGCACGTGGAAAAGATTTATAGATACGAAAGAAAAATCCGATGTTTCAACAACGCAACAAAATCTTATAAACACTCAACATTCAAACGCATCAACCGAAAGCGATTTGACAACGTTGGAAAATCACGAATTATGGCTTCCCGATACCAGCGTGCAAGAAACGACAAGTGCCACAATGACGGCATTGCACGTTTTCGGTGCCGAAATGTTAAAACTATCGAGAGGTTTGGAAAGTTTTGCCGTCGGTAGAGAAGAAACGCAAAATTCCGAAAGGTAAGTATCGAAAAACCTGTCTTAACGCGATAATTAGTTATTTCCGGTCAAGAAAACAAACGAACAAAACCCAAGGACATTCAAATAAGGAAAAAAATTAAATTAATTCGTTTTCCTCTTTAATTTTTTTTCATTGAAATTATTATTTTTATTATTATCGATACGATAACAATGATAATAATAATGAGTACATGTACATACCTTCGAGTTCGGAATTTCCAACTTCGTAAACAAAAAAAAAAAAAAATTTTCTTTCTCCTTTCATTAAAATCATTAAAAATTTTTATTTTTTTTACTTTACGCCTATAATTAGCTTACGACCGAATCGTTCAATAAAAAAATTAATAATTTTTAAAAAAAATTTTCTTTTGTAGCCTTCGGGTTATTTTTTTTTTTTTTTTTTTTTTTATTCTAAGTTTTTATACGAAGTAATAATAATAATAATAATTCGAACGATTCCGCCATATTGTATTTACATCCTTACTAATAATAATAATAATAAGTATATTTTATTAAATTTATGCAGGTAAAAATACATTTTAAGTAAAAGTAAACAAAAAAAATTGAATATTTACAACAAAAAAAAAGAAAAAAAAACACGTGAGCATGCAAATTAACATCATCATCATCATCATTATTATTATTATTATTATTATTACGCGAATAAATTTTCCGGTACGTAATAAGAAAATATTTAACTGGAATCGGTGGAGAAATAAAAAAAAAAAAAAAAAAGAAAAAAAAAAGTTCCGATTTCGAATTTGAAATTTTTTTTCCTTTTTTCTTCGGTTATCATTTTTTCCCTTTCGACGTTTACTTTTTTTTTCTTTTTCTTTTTATTAGAGAGAGAGAGAGAGAGAAAAAAAAAAGGTAAATAAGACACCATTTTGATTTTTTTTTTATATATTGAAACCGTTTTAAATAAAAAATGAGATGATGTATATACAAACCTAAAACTTCATACATAACGTGATATGTAATTTTTTTTTTTTTTTTTTAAATTCCCTTTCCGTAACAACAATAACAACAACAACAACAACAATAATAATAATAATAATAATAATAATAATAATAATAATAATAATAATAATAATAAATACACTTACATTCATACGCCTGACACCGAAGAAAAACAAAAAAAATTTTTTTAAATGAAAAACAAACAAAAATTATTATTATAATAATCATCATGGTGGCACCTTTCAACAACTTATAAGTGTGACATTGAAAATTTCCCCTCTTCCCTCCTGCACTCTGGTGTTCTATTTCCGAATTAAAGGTTTTTTTTCGGGGACGTCATTTGTTTAAAAACCTCCACCGCATTATTCATTTTAAATATAATAATAAACAAATAGTATTATTTAAACGAAGAATGAATAAAATGAAAGCGAAAAAAAAGAAAAATCATCGTTTTAATTATTATTATTATTATTATTATTATTATTATTATTATTATTATTATTATTATTATTATTATTATTATTATTATTATTATTATTATTATTATTATTATTATTATTATTATTATTATTATTATTATTATTATTATTATTATTATTATTATTATTATTATTATTATTATTATTATTATTATTATTATTATTATTATTATTATTATTATTATTATTATTATTATTATTTCGAATTCGTTTATATACACGTTTATTTTTTTATAAAATTGAAAAACAAACGTAATATATTTATTAGATTTTTTTCCCCCTTCTTTTCCCAAGACGAATACGTATGATATGTAATGTATTTTATTTCACAAAGGTTTGCATTTTCCCTCCCCCTCTTTTCTCTCTCCCTCTACTTCCCCTTCCCGACAGAATAGAATTTTCTTATTGGTCTAAAGTTAATTATAACGATTCGGATTAAATTTTTTTTTTGTTCTCTATGACGTAAAACCTTTTTGTATAAAAAAAAGAAATATGTCGGTCGGTCGGATGGTGTT